TGGTCTCCTCCGGGGCAGGCGGGAATTGAATTCATGCGGAAGTGGCTTTTTAGCTTCTCAGTGCAGCGCTTTAACCCGCTACGCCACCAGGGAGGACCTCTATTACATTTTAAATGCAAAATATTCTAGCTGTTTCTAAAACAATTACAGCTTTTCTAGCCTTAGATAACGTGGATATATTAAACTAGAATCAATCACTCATAAAACTATACTTACATATTCCCTCACGTTTTTTGTTTTCACAGCTTTGTATGAATAATATGCAGGGTAAAGCATTCCAAACACCAACCTGAAAGTAAAAAGTATGAGAAGACTTGTCAAACACAATGTTATTAACAATTCATGAAAATTTCAGTGTTAAATTTATAAGTGTGAAAATTGGTATATAAATCCAACCAGAAGAATAAGTAAAATACATTCTTTACAAAACGATGATTTTAAAATTTTAAAGTTTCCTAGAAAAATGTTGAAAAATTGCAATTTAAAACCTTTTTATTTTTATCACCACAAACACTATTCTCTATTTTAAACATTTGGATAACATAGAAATTACCAAAAATAAAATAAAAATTATTCTAATTCTACCAATCAAAGATAACCACGGATGGTTTTTTTGTATACAAATCCTACTCCTTACCCATGTGTAGTATACCTAAACCATAAACATAACATACACACACAATTTGTGATAATAAAAAAGTGGTCCTTTATTAGCTTAAGGGATACTTTTAAAATATATATATAATAATTTATTTTTACATCATTTTGTGCATTTTTCCATCTCCGTTGTAATCCCCTTGGGCTTCCCATCACCAAGTCTCCCATGTGCCATCACCAGTGCATTTCCCTCCCCCCACTGTTTTTGATCTCATCCCTCACTCCACCCCCACAAAATATCTCTGCTATATAGCTGTTCATCATTATCAGTATTTTCCCACCTGTTCCGTAATATTCCTGCTATGAGAAACCATCCAGTATTTTTCCCTTTCTTTCTGGCTTATTTCACTCAGCATGATAGCTTCCAGTTCCATCCATGTTGCTGCAAAACACATGATTTTTTTTGGTTGCTGAGCAACATGGATGAAACTGTTGGCTTTTTGATTCATGAGGTATATGAATTATTTTGTCAACTTTTCTTTATTAGGGTGGAGAGGATCTGTATTTTCCTTATTCCTTTCATTGAAGTAACATCAGTTTTCAACACTGTACATGTTCTAGGAATACATTTTCTAATTCAGCAAATGAACCTGAAACTGCCAATCCGATGAGATCTACCACCAGATAGTCACCACCCACCACCTACCAGTTGGTCCTTTCTATACATCCTCTTCCTCACTATCCTGGCATCCACCATTCTGTTGACAGAGTCTAAGGGTTTGTTTTTATTTTGTTTGTTTGCTTTGCTTTTTCTTTGCATTCCATAAATAAGTGAAATCATACTATATTTGTCTTTTTTCTTCTGACTTATTTCACTTAGTGTAATTCCTTCAAGGTCCATCCTTACCACAAATGCCAAGATTTCACCTTATTTTTATGGCAAGGTAGTATCTCATTGTGTTTATATAGCACATTTTCTTAATCCATTCATCCATCCATCATTGGGCCTTTGGGTTGTTTCTATGTCAGTGTGGTTGTGAACAGCCTACGGTGACCACAGAGGTCACTGTATTTTTTTGAGTTAGCCTTTTTATTTTCTTCCTGTATTTACAGGAATTGGGATTACTGGATATATTGTATTTCTGTTTTTAATTGTTTGAGGAACCTCCGTACTGCTTCGCGTAGTGGTTGTACCAGATTACATTCCCACTAATAGTGCACAAGAGTTCCTTTTTCTCCACATCCTTGCCAATATTTATTATTTTTTTACTTTTTGATAACAGCCATTGTAAGTGGCAGCAAGTGAGATTGGTTTTCACTCGCAGTAATGATAAGCAATGTAAAACATCTTTTCATTTGGGTGTTGTCTAGCTGCATGTTGTCTTTGATGAAATGCCTATTGAGATCCTCTGTTCATTCTTTTAAAAAAGATTTATTTATTTATGCATACAGAACTGGGGTATGAGCCAGAGGTACAGGGGTTGTAAGAGGATTCACCAGAGACAGAATGGGGAGCACAGGCAGCTCAATGAAGTACACTGCTGTGGGGAGCAGTGGGTGGGAGAGGTCTGCTGTGCCATGTGGGTCACCTCCCAGGCGGGGATCAAACTTAGGCTGAAGTGGCTTTAGTTTCTTAGTGTTGTGCTTTAACTGGCTGTGCCAACAGAGGGCCCCTCTATTCATTTTTAAATTGGGTTGTATATAAATTTTTTTTTTGGTTGATGTTGTTGAATTGTAAGAAGGGAGTCTAATATCTTAATATTCTTTATTTTAAGAAAGATTGAGTTTTAAAGAAAAGTTGGGAAGATCATGTATAGATAGCTCTCATAGCCCAACACTGAATTTCTCTACCACTAATGTGCTGAATTAAAATAGTACATTTGGGACCCTCCCTGGTGGCACAGTAGGTTAAAGCACAGCACTAAGAAGCTAACGCCATATCAGCATGAATTTGATCCCTGCTCCAGAGGTGATCTACATGGTGCAGCAGATTCTCCTGACCTGCCTGCTGCATCCCTCAGCAGTGTTCTTCATCAGTTCTGCCTATTCTGCTCCCCACTCAGTCTCTGGTGAATCCTCTCCCCGCCCCCATACCTCTGGCCTGTACCCCAGTTCTGTATGCACAAATAAATAAATCTTTAAAAAAAACGGTACATTTGTCACAATCAATAAGTCCATATTAATATATATTGTTTATTAATTAAACTCCATGCTTTATTCAGATTTGCTTTTAGTTTTTACCTAATATCCTTTTTCTGTTTCAGAATAGCACATTATTATTTCACAGTCTTGCTTCCTTAACTCTTCTTGGCTTAACATTTTCTCATACTTTCCTTGGGAAATGACCTTGACAATTCTGAGTAGCATCGATCAAGCATATTATAAAAAGACCTTAATTTGAAAATTGTCTGCTTTTCTTATCAACTTCAGCAAATGGCCTCCTTATCCCCTTGTGGGTCAGTCCTTATACAGGCTCATAAAAACAAAGTAACGTGAAAACCACTGCCCTCTATAACAATTTCTTTCCACCTGGTTCCTCATAAGCATCTAGTATTTCTGGAGTGTATGTGTCTTGCCTGCAATGCCTCCCTTTCTTCTTTTCTTTCTATCTCTCCTTTCTTTTCTTCCATTTTTTTCTTGCTTAATTAGTCTATTTTTCCTCAAGTTTCAATCTTTTTCCATAGACTTCAAAATTACTTTTATTTTGAATTTAGAAGAATTTGGTAGGATTAGTCATTTGTCTTTAGCATACTTTACTTTAGACTGCTTAATGCAATTGTGTGTGCGTTTGATGCAATTTTTAAAAAGATTCATTTTTTATATGTTTATGCATACAAAAACTGGGCTCCAGGCCAGAGACAGGCAGGTGAGAGGATTCACCAGAGACACAGTGGGGAGTAGAACAAGCAGATCTATTGAAATACTGCTGAGGGGAGCAGTGGTGAGATAGGAAAGGTCTTCTGCACCATGTGGGTTACCTACCTTGCCAGGGGATAGAACTCAGGCCACAATGCCTGCAGAGAGCTTGAAAGAGCTGAAACTTAATACTTGTGCAACCTGGGAGGCCTCTGGACTATTTGATGTAAATTTTAATTTAACTGACTTCCAAGTTAAATAAGTTTCTCACATTAGTAAGGATTTTCTGCTAATTAATGCTATACAAGTTGGTGCTTTGTATTTATTTTCTAACCTAATATTGAATAGAAGCAGTCAAACAAACACAGTATCTCTAACACCTAACTCTGTACAAGTAGAGAATAATTTATTTCATTTGGACCATGGGAAAGATTAAATGTCTTAGTGAGTAGTGGGACAACTTATAAGGAACACCAATATTAATATTATAATATTATTGCTCCAATGTGAGTATTACTGAATAATTTATTACTAACATATGTAATATTTTCCTCTTTTTTTGGTTTATTTTTTAAATTTTAGGTCTTACTATAGATGCCGGCAGCTTGGGAGGCCAGGCAGAAAGCCAAAGAATGAGAATAGTGTAAAATTACATAAAAATTAACTTTAGAAGGCCACCTACAAAATAAACTCAGGGCTTATAAAGGGACTATTTGCTACAAATAAAATTCACCTATAAATTTGAATATTGTTTCAGTTAGAGGCAGTAAGAAATAGCTACTAATTTCCTTTTAGTTTTATTTCCTCCTGAAGTGGGAGAACTTTGCCAAAACACTCACCATAGTCTTCCCAATTTACCCGCCACAAAGGTAAATTTATCTGTATGAACACAAGCTATACTATACACTGTTTTAAGAAAGAAATGGGAATGCAGAAGGGGCAATGAATGGTGTCAGTGTCATTTTTTTATATGTAGGAAATACAGAAAATAGCTATTTTTTTCTGTATAGATGTTCAGAAACAATGCATCCTTTTTAGAGAAATTCCGTGTTCCAAGTAAAGCTACCAGTAAAGCTACTACTCAGAAGCTACTAGTAAGAGTGCTCTCACATCTAGGATATCAACAAAAGCATAAAGGTTTTCAGCAACATTTGAAGAAACTGGTATTCTTTTAGACAGAAGGACAAAAGCAATGGGACTATAGATTAATTAAAATGGGATAGCTAATATAAAACCAACAATATAAGCTACAGGATCAAAAATCAGAACAATGAAAGACAGAGGTACCAGGCTTGTTAGAATTAGTTAGTACAAATACAGTATTCTTCAAAGAGCAACACAAAATACAATGTATCAGTCCCTTTCTGAACACTATAACCCACATTTTTCTGTAATCCAGTCAACACAAAGACTATTTTGAGATAAGCTGAATTCAAGCAAATTAGACTAGGATTAGTCTGATAAACATACAGAGCTTTCTCTGATGCTCCTCCATGCCTGTGACCAGTATCCTAGTCATTCATTAGTTATTCACTGCTAGTCATTCACTGCAGCCTTTTCTTCTGACCCTGTGCTGGGAATCATTGTCAACAGAGCACTACATCACATCAACAAAGGACAGGGGCCAATTAGACTTCTTTGCCCCCTTTAAAAAAACCTTTATGTCATTTTAAATTTTGATCAAGCTTGAGTACCAGGTTATATTCCTTAAACTATTATAACTATTTCCTTTGGGAGGAAATCACCTTAATCGCATTACTTTCTTATTTTTAGTAGTACTTTCTTATTTTTCTTGAAGTATATAATATAAAATTGCCATATGAAAACTAT